GCCAGGTGTGGTGGCGGCATCTGTAATCCCAGCTATTCGGCAGGGCTGAAGGAGGAGAATCATTTGAATCCAGGAGGCAGCTGTTGCAGTGAGCTGAGATCGTGCCACTGCACTCCAGCCTGGGTGACAGAGCAAGACTCTGTCTCAAAAAAAAAAAAAAAAAATATATATATATATATATATATATATATGTGTGTATATATATATATATCACATGTATTTTTATCTTTTACATATGCACAGCATTAAAAGGCAGACACAGTATATATGTGTACATAAGTATAGGTACACATAAAACTATATTTTGGTAAACGACATGGAGACTAATGTAATTCTCTTCTAGAATAGACTAGAAGAAAACAGACAACACTTTAAACACACCAAAAGAGGAGGGTGTGGCAACAGGGGAGGCAGTAATCCTGCGGATCTACATCTGTAGTGCGTTCTTAAATAAATAAAAGATTAAGAGCCAATGAGGCAAAATATTGATTGACTGATTGATTTATAAAGACAGGGTCTCGCTTCATCACCCAGGCTCGAGTACAGTGATGCAATCAGAGCTCACTGCAGTCTTATACTCCTATGTTCAAGCAATCCTCCCACCTCAGCCTCCCAAAGTGCTGCGATTACAGACATGTGGCACCAAGCCAGGTCCCAATACAAAATGTTTAATTCAAAATAGCCAAATAAGGGATCTGCTGTATTACTCTTTGTAACTTTTTCTCCTTTGAATCTCTCACAGTTAAGCAAAGTTCGAAAAGGTACTTATAAATTTCTTTCATACAATGTAAATATGTGGATCAAATGCCCAAAGTGTCTTTAGAATTTTCTTTTCTAAAATGTCTCTGACTGGAATAATCAGATCATTTTTCTGAACAGGACTGGTTAGGTATAGAAAGGAAAACAGAAGAGAGGGTCCAAAAGCCAGGTTCATTGTGGGGAATTCTTTGAGTTCTTTTAGAAAGACCTGATTCTAGTTGTGGTGGGGGTGGAAGGGTGAGTAGGACAGAGGATAGAGCAAAGTTACCCCGAGAGACTCCTTCCTGAAGCTCCTCAGACTCTTCCATCCAACAGAGCATGGGCCTGATGAATTAGGGAGCCAAGAGCAAATAACAAATGAAGCAGAGGTACTGTTTCCCTTAAGGCTTAGGTAAGATGCCATTGGTAAGGAAATACTATATTCTTTTTGTGTAAGAGGCCGGCCAAAAAGGTGAAAATCTCTGGTAAGGTATAATAACAGTAGAAGAGGGAAAGAGTAAAGTTCACCCCTCCTGAAATTTATCTTGTGCTGTGGCGGTCCATGCTAACTTCAGATTCTGAGTAGCAATAGTGCCCATCACAGATTGTCATATTATTATAGAGCCACTTAGAAGACAAGAGAAATTTGGGGCACTTCTATTTTTTTGAGACTCTAGCATATTAAAAAATAATGAAATATCAAAAAAGACATAGAATGATTATATATTTTTACACTATATATGTTATATATAGTGTAAACATATTATATATGTTTACAATGAACAATAGACCTTTGATACACATTATAATAAAAGTAAGTATGCTAGTCATCACAGCTACAAATCATGAAAAATATGAAATCATAGTATACATATAAAAGACAAAAATGTAAATTTCTATGATGAGTATGTTTGTCTTTTAATCCTGTCATCATTTTTGTGGTTGTATGTAATGCTGCTACAAAAGACCAGGCTAAAAGTCTATAATGAGCCGCTTTGTGAATGAGAAGTCAGGGCCAAACAGTCTTCCTTTGCCACTCCCCCTGCCCTCCTTGTTTTAACTTCTGCTCATGGGGGTTTCCAACCAGACTGTAGCCCAGTTTAAAGGAATGACTGTGTCTTATGAGTTGGGGGCCAAGAGGTTGAGGGTAACAACAATGTGATTTTGGCTAGATCTGTAGTGGAATGGTACATACTGTAAGTCAACTGGATGCAAGAGGCAAATTCAGAAAGAATGATGTGGAGCAGGGAAGGGTAGGAAGACATCATAAGTTCAGGCAGGTGAGTTGCTCAGAGCAGAGCCTTGCACCTGGTCTAACCACCCTGGACTTAGCCTGGCAGCCCACAGAACTGAGATAGGAATTGGCAGTCCTAGTCCCCAAGACAACGGGTTACATGACCCACTGATAAGACAGGAGACAGTAAACAACAGGTCACAAGACTCTGCTGCTAAGAGGATATAATAAAAAAACCAGCCTATACCTTCTAGAACCAAGATGGAATGAAAATGACCTTCCCTATTCATTATCCACGAATTATAATTTACTAGCATGCTAAAACACACTCCCACCCATGCCATGGCAACACTCAGACGTTTCCCTGAATGGTCTAAACTGGGGAGAAAACCCTGGTTCTGGGAGTTCCCTGCCCTTTTTACAAAAAACTCATGCGTAATCAATCCTTTATTCAGCATATAACCAAGAAATAACCACAAATACAACCAGTGAGCAGCCCAGAGTGCTGTTCTGCCTATGAGGTAGTCCTACTTTGCTTATGGAGTAGTCTTCCCTTTGTTTTTTATTTCCTTAAATTTGTTCTTGCTCTTTTCTGTCAGATGGCTTCTGACTTCTTTCTTGTGTGAAGACAGCACTCATACACTTGGACCCCGGACTGAACCCCACTTTTGGGTGTGCAGAAGGGATGGGTTGGCTGAACTTTTCAACTGCCGTCTCTGCGCAATTCATGATTTCATCACCATGTTTCATTGTCATATTTTACTTCTTTAAGGGCTTTTCTACTAAATCTTAACAACCATTATGTTAACATATACTTTGAGAAATTGTTGGCATAAGTGCCATTTGGGGGAATATGTTCAGAGAGAGTGGTGGCTTCTCCCATGACCCTTCCACCCCTGGAAACACATACCCTGCCATCAAACCGAGCTTCTGACTTAAAGTCTGTTGAAGGCAGCTGACAGGGATATGGTACTTAAATTGATAGAGGAGGACCTAGAATGTGGGAAGAGTGAAGAAATTAGGAGTTCTGGACAAGTAGAAACAAAATCTCAAGCCACAGAATCCGTGAATAATTGAATGAGGGTCTAGGCATGGGCACCAGGGTGGAGGGTGCAGCTTGACACTTGGCAGGGTTTCCCTGCATCCCTACAGCTCAGTCCAGAGGTGGTCTGGATGTGACGCAGGTGGAGCAATCATATAATTCCCATGATCTACACGTCTTATGAACTCATCCCAAGCAGAAAATACACCACCTGCCTGCTTGTAGGTGCTCCATAAAGGAAAAAACGTGTTATTAAAAATATTACAAAACTCTAAAAGGTCAGAGCCTACAGTGTCTGTGCATAAGTGAACTATTAGATAATCTGGCTGAGGGATCTTTATGGCCATTTCTCATTTGATGATATTTTCTTCACCTGTAAACCCAGAACTGTTACTAAGAGAGACTGAAACAGAAAGGCCTGGAACATTCCATTCCCAAGAGATAATTTATCTAAGTTATAGCAAAGAGAAGGAAAATCAAAGCATAAAATGTTCTCCAGTTCTGGTCTTTTGCACAGCCAAGAGAAGTGTTACATACTTACCACTTTGTTATTGAAAATAGAGACTACTCTCCTCCCAATGTCCCAAGTGAGAAGAGAAAAGTTGCAATTGGATGTCATCAGTCGGTTGAGAGACCAATCAGATCAAGGAAGAGAAGAGAGATTTACTTGACAACATTTGACTTTGATGAATGTTTCTTTTTGTCAGCCTTTCTAACTTGGGGAGGTGGGAGAGGGGAGGAAAATAATAGAGAGAGAAGTGAAGTCAGGGAAGACCGTCTAGAAATCTAGAAGAGAAAAAGTTTACCTGTAAAAAGAAAGCCAATGTGGATTATAATTTAACATAATCTTAAAAAGAAAATAAAGAAACTTCGACAGAAGTCAAAGCAAGCCATTTAAATTAATTTGGACCCCAGCAGGAAGACGGTAGTCTCCCTTGACCTTTGGCTAAAAAGTCCACTTAAAAAGCTGGTAGTCCAAAAGGAAGGCTATATTAGCAGGGAATGTTTCTGCACAATCAGAGGAGTTAGGTTTTAGTCAGAATGTACCGGAAAATCCCCAGGAAGTCTAAAGTTTCTTCCTCTGTGTCATTTTGAGTTGCTATCACCTGTCCCTAACCCCATTCAGATTAATCAGTGTGAAAGTGTTTCTGCCATTAATTTTAATTCATTTCTATGTTTTTAAAAAAGTCATAAACTAAAAAGAATAGCAAGTCCAATGATAGCAAAGCTTTATTTTTTTCCCCTCAGATGATTCCTTATAAAAGGAAAAATTCCTTAAGAGCTGTGTTTAAGAGTTCATGAGATCAGCTGATCTTTTATCAAGTCACACATTTGTTTCTGTCAAGCCATTAAGACCATCTGTAATCTCAAAATCATTGAATTCCAAAAATTATTGTGGAAACCCTTCTCCACATTATTTTAGTATTTATTATTATTATTTCTACAAATTATTTTGTGAACTTCCCATCCAAAATGACTATGGACAGAAAGGGAGTAGATGTGATAAACTATCGATGTATTGCTGAAATGGAATGTCAGAGAGGGTTCTAGATGGAATGGACTGCATAAATCAATGAGATCTTTGGTTCTCAACTCTGGTTGCATAATAGAATCATCTACATAATGGTGTTCCAGTCTTATGTTTCAACTCAGCATTTTAAAGATAGATCCTTACTTCTTCTATTTCAGATCTTCTCATCTATAGCTCCCATTCTACCACCACTGACAAATTTAGCCATGGGAACACCTATACTTCTTGGGAGTGATTTTTATTTTCTCTCTTGTTTGGGATAAAATTTTCTCTCATCTCTTTATCTTTTCATTTGAACACCCACAGAATTTTTCAAGACTCTTCTCTACTTCATGAATTTGCATGCTACAATATTTACAGTTTCTAATGTAGAATGTAATTAAAAACAGTCTACATTTGTTTTCTTTTTAAAAGTTAATGTTTATTATAAAATAATTTAAAATATTAAAATATTAAAAAGTATAAAAACCATAATGATCATACACAGAATAGGAAATATATTTATTACACATATAAGAAAATGTTCAAGAAAGTGCAAAATTATTTGAATATATTCTTGTGTATCAACTTAGTAAGGACTTTTAAATGTATCACACCTAATGAAATAAAATAAACATTTTCAGGACTTTTGGGAAGGACTGTAGATTATTACCATACCTTGAAATATAATTTGATAATATATATCAAAGCCTTGAATACTTTGCTTTCTAAAACCTGGCATTAAGAAAAAAGTCAGCCATCTCTATGTTTCTCTGTCTTTCCTTTATGAATATGTGCTCCTTTGTCGTAATAGCAATGACATAACCAAGACTGGCTAATTTATAAAGAAAAGAGCAAGGAGAAGTGTGGAGGAAAGGGGGAAAGCCCCTTATAAAACCACCAGATCTAGTGAGAATTCAGTGTCACGAGAACAGTATGGAGGAAACCACACCCATGATTCAATTATCTCCACCTGGTCCTGCCATTACATTCCAACCTCGGCAACAAGAGTGAAATTCCATCTCAAAACAATTAAAAAAAAAAAAGAAAAGTTATCATGGATAAGTCAGATTTTGAGTATGCTGTGCTACTGAAAGCTTGGTGGAGATCTTCTGGAGAAGAGAAAAGGAAGGAAGGTCAAGGTGAAAAGCTATGGTCTTAAGGGGAGCTATTTCCCCGTTTCTACCCATTTTTGCTAGTAATGGATGCTGGCCTCACAAGGTAGCCAACTGAACTGGAGCAGTTAGTTACCTTCCATTTGGGATCTGGTGTTGTGAAATAATCCTAGGCAAGAAGGAAATGCTGAGCTTTGAACTTCACCATCTTCTACAAATCATCCAAATTTTTAGGTATTATTTGCCTTAACCCATGCCTTGCTAGTGTTCTGAGTCGAGGCAGATTTGTTTCATCACAAAGAACCTATAGAGACATATTGTTTCTTTTCATCTACCCCAGGTTAGCACCTTTTAACTTAGTTCAGTTGACATAGGGTTGTTATTTTTAAGAAGAAACTTCAATTGGCAACTAGGAGGGGAAAAAACTAAGAAAATAAAAATGCAAAACAGACTGGTTTACAGTTCCTTTTAAGATATGTTCCCTCCCTTCCTAACTTTCTTCCTTCCTCTTTTTCTTTAACTTTTTTTCTGATTCTTTTTTCATTTAGTTAACTTCTTGAGCACTGTGCTGGTTGCTGGGGAGTAAAGGATAAATAAAAGGCATGATTTTCTTCCTCTAATTTAGCTACAATTGAGCCAAGCAGTGGCTTGGCTGCTGTAGCTCATGGAATACCAAACCCTAGATGCATTTTCTAGCTTCAATACTAGGTATGCCGGCTCCCATTTCAGATCATTTTAGTCTAAGCTTCTGTTTGATGTTCTCAGAATATGATATTCCAGGTATCTTACTTTTCTGTGGCACTTGTGCAGTTGCAAGGCAATGGACTGGCATTATACTTAACTTCCATCAGGTGTCTAATGCTGGTGCCCTTAATTTACAAATGTTATTTCTTTTAAATAAATTTCTGATGAAGTTAATTTTGCTTTCACTATAAAAACATATCCTTTAAAGAAAACATAGTCATGCATCACATATTTCAGTCAATGATGGCTCACATATATGAAAGTGGTCCCATAAGATTATTAACACTATATCTTTATTATAACTTTTCTGTTTAGATATGTTGAGATACACAAATACTTATCATTGTATTCTATAAAGTAACATGCTATACATGTTTGTAGCCTAGGAGTAATGGGGTAGACCATATAGCCTCCATTTATAGTAGGGTATACCATCTAGCTTTGTGTAAGTACACTCTATGATGTTCACACAATGACAAAAAATCACCTAAGGATTTAGTGCACTTCTTATAATGTATGCCAGCCGTGAGGTAATAAGTGACTGTATAAACCATTTAACCATTTGCTAATCACTAAATGTTGCATACTCAAAACCAACATTTGCATCCTGCTTTAAAATTTGCTATTAAATATGTTCACATTATTATAATATGTCTTTGGATGTTCCGCATAGGTCTTTGAAGTCAGTAGGGCAGGTGTCTTCATCTGCCACATCTTGCAGATGACAGAAGGGTTAGGTGACATGGCCAAAGTCACACAAGTACTAAGCAGTAGCATAGGGACATGAGCCCCAGTGCTCTGATTTTATATCCAAGCAACTTGTTTAATACCATGTTGTAACAACATGAATATAGAAGAAACATCAAGTTACAAATCCTGTAAATATTGATCTAAAAGCTCCAGTATGATTATAAATCTTTACTCAACTAGCATTCTCTTTGTCACTTTCAGGAAACTGTTGAAGCTATGTTCTATGCTTGATATCTACATTTTCCAGGTGTCAAATATCTGAGACCCACATAGCATTCACCTGTCTTCTGTGAAGTGTTAATTGCCATTGTAACCTTCACTTTCTCTCTGAGAGCAATTTTTTTTTTTTTTGGAGACGGAATTTCACTCTTGTTCAGGCTGGAGTGCAATGGCCTGATCTCGGCTCACTGCAACCTCCGCCTCCCCGGTTCAAGCAATTCTCCTGCCTCAGCCTCCCAAGTAGCTGAGATTACAGAAGTGCACCACCATGCCAAGCTAATTTTTTTGTATTATTAGTAGAGACTCAGGTGATCCATCCACCTTGGCCTCCCAAAGTTCTGGGATTATAGGCGTGAGCCACCACGCCCAGTCTGAGATCAATACTTTTTCCTTTTTGTTTTATATTATATAATGAGAGACTGCCCCTCTTATTTTATATTCCTTGAATAACAAGGACTCCTAAACATTACACATCTAAAAATGATACATTAACACAGGATTTTTTTTTTCAGGAAAGAAAAAAACAATTTCCCTAGTAACCAGGTTACTATAGCCTCTTAGCAAGCTCAGCCATTATTGCCGAATGCTCAAATTTGTCTTATTCTTCTTAAAGTATCCAAACCATTTTTTTCCTTATGAGCAATTCAATGGTGCTATAAAAATAATTTTTAAGGCTGGGTGCTGTGGCTCATGCTTGTAATCCTAGCACTTTGGGAGACTGAGGTGAGCGGATCACAAGGTCAGGCTTTCAAGACCAGCCTGGCCAGCATGGTGAAACCCCATCTCTACTAAAAATACAAAAAAAATAGTGGGGCATGATGGCACGCGACTGTTGTCCCAGCTACTTGGGAGGGTGAGGCAGGAGTATTGCTTGAACCGGGGAGGCAGAGGTTGCCTCACTCTGAGAGAGGCAAAGCGAGCCCAGACTGCGCCACTACACTCAGCCTGGGTGAGAGTGAGACTGTCTCAAAAAAATAATAATTTAAAAAAACAGCTAACCAGCAGGGCATGGTGGTGCATGCCTGTAGTCCCAACAACTCAAGAGGCTGAGGTGGGAGAATCTCTGGAGCCCAGGTGTTGGAAGTCAACTTGAGGAACATAGCAAGCCTCAAACTCCTAGAAGCTTCAAACTCTCGGGCTCAAGGGATCCTCCCACCTCAGCCCTGTGGGTAGCTGGTACTTCAGTTGTATGCCACCACGCCAGGCTAATCTTTAAATTTTTTGTGAGACAGAATCTCACTTGTTAAAGGGAGTCTTTCTTGTTAAAATGTTGGTGCCACCAGGTCTGGAACACTCCATGCTCCAGGGATGCTAGATTAGTAAGGAATTAACCCATTGGTTGCACTTGCCTCAGCCTACTGTTCTCTCAAGTCTCCAGCGGCTCAGTCCCCCAAGCTGTATCAGTCGTTGACTGGGTCTCTGCCTCCTCTTTGGGCATCAGGTTTCAGATGTATGGCTTGAAATGAGCTAACTTCTAAATAAATCACTATTCTTTTCATTGACACCTCACTCTAGCTCTAGAACCTGCTTTCCCCTGTGATCTGCCCCACTACTGATAAGCTCTTTGCTGGCACTAACTTTAGGTCAGTCTCCAGGCCACATGGACATGGCATTCCAGGAAAAGGGGAGGCGTGAGCTCGGGGTATGTGAGTGTAGACTAGCACAGTGTGTCCAGGTGATGGCAGTGGTTAGTGTGACTGCAGCTAAGGTCTGTGCATGGGGCATAGGAGGATGCTAGGCTAAGAAGAAAAGTTTGTCCCAGATTGAATGGGGCCTTCTCATTACATTAGACTTGATCCAGTACGCATTGCAGAGCCACTAACAGGCTTGGGGCAGGAGATTGAGTTCATCCTATTCCTGTTTTAGGAAGAAGACTTCAGTGTGGGCATGAAGGGGGACTGAAGGATGAGAATGCAGGAGACAGGGAAGCTCTTTACAGTTTGCCTTAATCCAACAGAAAATAGTAAAAGGTGGACTCTGAGACCTGGCAGTGGAATGAAGAGATAAGGAAGATAGGAGAGATTGTTTCAGAAATAAAAACTAATTTGATTAATTGGATGTAAGTTAGAGGGAGCAGAGAAAGTCAAAGGAGAGGTCTTCTCTTTTTTTGAGACGGAGTTTCGCTCTCGTTACCCAGGCTGGGGTGCAATGGCGCGATCTCGGCTCACCGCAACCTCCGCCTCCTGGGTTCAGGCAATTCTCCTGCCTCAGCCTCCTGAGTAGCTGGGATTACAGGCATGCGCCACCATGCCCAGCTAATTTTTTGTATCTTTAGTAGAGACGGGGTTTCACCATGTTGACCAGGATGGTCTCAATATCTTGACCTCGTGATCCACCTGCCTCGGCCTCCCAAAGTGCTGGGATTGATTACAGGCTTGAGCCACCGCGCCCGGCCAGGAGAGGTCTTCTTAAACATATGTGGAGAAGCTTATGCCAGCAACTGAGTGAGAAACACAAATGGTAAAGCAGGTTGGGGACAAGAAGATCAGTTCTGTTCTAAACATGCTGTTTGAGGACTGAAAGGAGAAGCTAAATACGTATCAGATAGGCAGGGGAAGCTCTGGGAGTTAGTCATAGAATTTACAAGAAACATCAAGAGTTGTTGCAGATTGGTCCAACTCAAACCAAAGAGGAAACTGAACTTAGAGGTTGAGTGACAGGTAGCAGAACTTAGGGGGATGTGATAAATAACTGGAAACAACTGGCTCTCAGTGAACGTCTAAGGTACTTAGGAGGCTTTAGAATATTGGTAGTTTCATTGAGAAACAATTTACATAGCATAGAATTCACCCATTGAGAATTCACTGGTTTTTAGTATATTCAAAATTGTGTGACCATCACCATCACTTAATTTTACAACATTTTTGTCGCACCAAAAAGAAACCCTATGTTCATTAGTCATCACTCCCTATTTCCCACAATGAACTTAAAAGAGAAGAAGGTTGCTATTGGAAGGGTATGGTAAAGCTCAGTCTCACAAAGAGCTGAGTTACCAGGCCTTAGGAAGAGAAGAAAATACTCCAGCTCTGAGAGTCCCAGCAGAAGAAGCTGAAGGGCATTTTCTTCCTAGTGATGCTGATTGATGACTCAGCATTCACATCTCCTCGCCTATGTCTCTCTGCTTAGCGGCCAAATTCCAGAGAAGGAAACTGAAAACGACCTCTGGTCAGGGAAGGTAGTCAGAGAAATCAAACAACAATGAAAAACCAGATGTCTAACCACATTGTTGGTCTAGAGGAAGCTGTGTCTGCGAAGACTCTATATTGCCTCCATTGAGAGTGAATATAAGGTGAGGAAACAGTACATGAAGCCTTACTCTTCAAAAAGTCTATACCAAGGGAACAAGAAGTAAAGTAATTGTGCACAGTGACCTTCTGGGTTGAAATGTTTCTCCCACCTCAGCCTTCTGTGTAGTTGGGACTACAAGCGCACACCACTACACCTGGCTAATTAAAAAAAGAAAAAAAAGGCCAAGTGAGGGTGGCTCATGTCTATAATCCCAGCACTTTGGGAGGCTGAGGAGGGTGGATCACAAGGTCAGGAGTTCAAGACCAGCCTGGCCAACATAGTGAAACTCTGTCTCTACTAAAACAAAACAAAAAAATTAGCCAGGCATGGTGGCACATGCCGGTAGTCCCAGCTACTGGGGAGGCTGAGGCAGGAGAATCACTTGAACCCAGGAGGTGAAGGTTGCAGTGAGTCAAGATTGTGCCACTGCAGTGCCACTGCACTCCAGCTTGGGCAAAAGAGTGAGACTTCATACCTAAAAAAAAAAAAGTTTGTACAGATAGGGTCTCTCTATGTTGCCCAGGCTGGTCTTGAACCCCTAGATTCAAGTGATCCTCCTGCCTTGACCTCTCAAAGTTCTGGGATTACAGGTGTGAGCCATTGTGCCCAGTCTTTGTTATTAAGATATGATGTCCTTGAACATGTTTATAGGCTGGGAGACTTGGGGGAGAGGGGAAGTAATTAATGGAGCAAGTACAGAAGAAGGCAGGTGGGGCTGATATTAAGGGCACAGGACGAGGATTAGCTTTGGAATGTAGGAAGCACACTTTTCCAAACAGATGGAATTTGTAGAGGAATGGGAAAGGAGAGATCTGCAAACTGATGGCCTCTATTTGTCAGGGAAATAAAAGACAAAGAGGGTTCAAGGAGTGAGGACTTGAGGTGAGTGGTAAGTCTGTGACTCCTGCTTCAGGCTCAGGTTCACTAAGGGCAGCAGGGCAGAGACATCCAGTCAAGCTTAACACCATGGATTGCTTTTTCCTTCCATTACTGATTTTTTGACATTTTAATCTTTCTCTCAGAGAATGAACTAGAAATAAAAAACGGGCGGTTGGGGGATCCAAACGTTAGAGGTTAGACTGAATGGACCACTTCATAAAGTTGCTGCTCAAGCTTTGGTGGTGTGAGGATGAAGTGAGCACAAAAGTAGCTTGTTAAGTTATTACTGGACTTCACTTACCCATGTTTCGTCACCATAACCCCTAGTCCACGGATGTTAGTGTGTCTTACTACTCTCGAGGACTTGGATCCCTTGGTTCAGAAGATGAGGCAAGATTGCGGTATATCCCCTCAGTTGTAACTTTATTGCACAAGGCAATAAAGTTTATTATACAAGTAGGCAGCACCTGTATACCTGGTACCACCAAGGATGTACCAAGGAAGGTAGTTTATATCACTTCAAGGCAGCATTGTTGGGACAACCAAGCAAAAATGGCATAAAGACTATATTTACCTTCCATAACTGCAAGGGATATCTGTGGTGAACCAAAAGATGTCTCAATTGAAGACCAGGTGACCCCAGATGAGATGTCAATAAGATCTGCTCGCTCTGAGTTCTTTAGAAATGGAGCCTCCACTCTTGACTTCAGAACAGCTTGATTGCAGACATCACAGGCCTTCCTGCTAGCACAGCCCTAAGAAAGAGCATCATTTCAGATTGCATTCTGTTTGAGAGAAACGATCAGGAATTAGATTAAGCAGACCTGAGTTAGAACTCTATTCCACCACTTTCTGTGTGCCATTGGGCAAATTACTCTCTCAGATCTTATTTCTTTGTATATAAAAGGATAATTTTAAGACCAAATTAAATATGCAGGTGAAAGCATTAAATAAGGAGTCTGGCACATGTTAGGTGGGCAACGAGTGCTGGAAATTACGGATCACGATATTTTATTTAAAGTTGTAGGTGGGGGTTCACTCTTAAAATAATGCAAAAGACACTTGTGAAATTTCTCTGTGGATACAATGTAATATAAATGCAAAGTAAAAAGGAGTTAGTCCCATCCCATTACCAGAAAGAATACAAAAACAAGCAGCAACGAAAACAACAAACAAAAAGTCTCCCCGTAATTGATAAACACAGATCTGTTCTCTTAAAGACTAAGATTCAAATTGCCAAAGACATTATTTTTTGATAAAGCAGTGCAAGTGAATACAAAAGGTATGCAAATACCCCTCTCAAGCAGCTCTAGGACTACATCCTAGCACTGTTGTCAGACCCTCAGTGATTCCCCGATGCCATTCCTGTCTTTTCCAGTCTTGTCTTTCACCGACTCACCTTGACCTTTCAGCTCTGGTGAACTTGGATTCCCAGCCCTGCACTTGCTTTTCCCAGTTCAACATTCTTACTACTGCCATTCCATTTATGTCTCTCAAAATCCTTCTCCTATCCAGTTTTCTCATCCTTCAAGCCTTGATCAAGCCTCCCCTCCTCTAAAGCCTCCTCAGAGTCATCACTTTCTGCTCCAAAATCCCATGGTACTTCTCTTCTGTAGAACGAATTTGGCCAGCTAATTAGAGTGGGCATGTGTTATTCATTAGGCTGCTCCACATCTGAAGCCCTTTCCTATGTTTGAAGGAAGCAGAGCCTGCCTCCCACTATGGAAGCTGAAGATGCTTGAACATTTTCCCAGCCTCCCCTGCAGTTAAGACAAGGGCACGTGACAGAGGCTGAGCCAATCAGATGCATTCACCCCACTTCAATGTGCAAGACAGGGATGTAAAGAAGCAGAGACCCTGCAGTCCTCAAGTGGTTGAGGGTGATGCCTGTGGAGACAGCTGCGTTTGGTTTCCTGAGTTGACGATGGCAGAAATTCTAGCAGTAGTGGCAACTAGGCACACTGATTGGTCTGTGCTCTGTGGTAGGAGTGGCAAAGTCTTCACCAAACTTCATGGCATGATATGGAGCATTGCTTATGGCTACGCATCTCCAAGACTGATTCTACAGCTTTGCTGAACGTTTAGGGCCAAAAATAAAAGAATTCAGCATAGTAACTGCTGAAAATGCAATACAAGGCCACTCTGGGAATTTCTTACTGCTTGTCTTTTTAGAACCTTGCCTCCAGCCGTGGTTAGTGGGCCTTCTTTCTTACTAGGTCTTGCCCACAGAGGAATTTATAGTAATATTTTTGTATGTTGCAATGTTTTGGGGTCAATGCTGACATTTGGGAGAGGGCAGAGATACTAGTTTTCCTGCAATGTACAGGACAGTCACACACAATGAAACATTATCTGTCATCTCCTGCCCTTTTCAAATGTCCCGAGGTTAAAAAACAAACTGTTTACAATTATCTGAGTCTAGAATATGACTGTTTTACATATAAAAACAAAATATTTGGGATTTTTTGAGGGAAGATTGCATTTGGTTTGGAACTTCCCCAAAAGGTCTTCACTATGTAGAGATGTCACATCTTTAAGATGGCAACGGTGCATATGGTATTGTCAAGGCGACATTTGAAGTTCAGAGCTCTAGTGTCACCCCTGCACTTCCCAGATTCTTTAGGTCCCACAAGCATCTTACTCCTTCATCGTGTGTTTTGGAGTGTACTCCTGGCCAAGCACTTGTATATTGCAGATATATTTTTATGTGTTTCTTAAATAGCTTCCTTTTTATTCCTCCTTTATATTACTATTAGGAAAGTATATTCGATTTTTATTTTTATTTTTTTGAGACAGAGTTTCGCTCTTGTTACTCAGGCTGGAGTGCAATGGCACGATCTCAGCTCACCGCAACCTCCACCTCCTGGGTTCAGGCAATTCTCCTGCCTCAGCCTCCTGAGTAGCTGGGATTACAGGCACGCGCCACCATGCCCAGCTAATTTTTTGTATTTTTAGCAGAGACGGGGTTTCACCATGATGACCAGGAGGGTCTTGATTTCTTGACCTCATGATCCACCCGCCTCGGCCTCCCAAAGTGCTGGGATTACAGGCGTGAGCCACTGCGCCCGGCCCAGTATATTCGATTTTTAAAGTTCATTTAAATTTTTTTTCAGGATAATCATGGTGGCAGTTTCAGTTACTTGTTATAAAAATGAACAAGTACCATGACCATGACCCCAAAGCCTTCTCTTATTTTCCCACAGTCTTTTAGCCTATCCCCTCCCAAACATGTTTGTTACTAAAGATCCATCGGTCTGGGATTTTGAATGTTACTTAAATTTTTAAGGTAACATACTTTCCTTCCTGATAGTTATATACAAAAATGCCTTCAGAAAATGACTCTATTCTCACAACCATAACATCTTGGGTTAATATTGATTGAAGGTTCAATGGTATATTTCAAATGCTGATAGGACGGGGCTTTAAAACCATCAACTCTCAGGCTCCTGGGAGCTCAGTTTCTCTCTAAGCTTTATTGGGTGTAAAAAGCATATAGTGACCCAATCCACACTCTACTCTTAATGGCCATGTGAGGGAAGAAAGCTTTGCTTTATCTTTCTGAATGCTTAGCAGGATTTAAATATAAATTAGCATAAGATTTGAAAAAGAGAAAAGAAGTAGCATCATATTCTATTTTTCAGTTAGCAACCATCAAATTACAGTTGGTGAACTTTTGAGCAGAGTGAGCTTCTTGACCTCATGGTGAGAACACAAAAAGACTCCCCAGAACAAGGTGTCCTCATGTGCAGATTGCAGATGGAGCCGCGGTGCCCAGACAACAGTGCCCAGAGGCTTTCTTACCAGTTTCAGGCCTCCTCTTGAATGACAGTCACTCTGAGGATGACACATTGGGGTTAGAATGCTCCTTGACTTTAAAAAACCAACAAACAAATTGAACCTTATCATATTTTACTACTAGTCCTCTTTGTACTACATGTTTTTGCTGGAAATCAAAGTGTGTTAGTCAAATGCCCTTTCAAAACCCTATAATCTCAGCATGCAAAGCCAGCATCTGAGGATTTCCCACATTGAATCGGCCTGTGTATACGAAAAGACTTGTATGTATAGAAAAGGGGAGCTGTGGTTTTAAAGAAGACTGAGTTTTAATCACTTTGAAACTGTAAATTAACATGAGTTTCAAATAAACAGTCTGCAATTTTGATTTTATCAACTCAAGAATCCTTGCCAGAAGATCCGTGAAAGTGACACCAAATGTTCTGGCGATTTTAATCAAGATGAGATAATGCATATGAAAGTGAACAGTGAAGTCCCTCACCAAGTATTTTAGGATCTGCCACTAATTTTCATAGTCTCTAGGGCAGTGTTTAATACAAATTTGCAAACAAATACAATAAATACACTCTGAAACTGGATTCTTGTATTTTAACAGCTGCTCCTAGCAAAAAAGAAAAAATGGAAAATAATGGATAACTTTTTAGAACATTCATTAATAATTTTTCTTTTAATAAATGGATTTTACCTGTTTTATTTTGAGTCAACCAGATATAACCTGAGTGACCAAAAAGAAGAGTGTTTTCTTTTCAAATATGCCACCTTTATATGCTGGAAATATTTGCTTCAGATGTGATTCAACTGTCTGCCACACTGAAGAGCTTTAAAGAATCCTTTTCCATTGAAGTGTCAATTATTTCTCTCTTCTTTTCAGACAGCTGAGTACCCTCTCATCATTGTCAGTTCATCTCATTTTCATTTTTAAAATGCTAACAAGAAAGTGGCCTGGTGCTTTGTCTCTGTCTCCTTGCTTTCACAGCCCCCAGTGCAGTCCTTTTTTGTCCTTGTCAGTTTTATAACTTTGACCTCAAGGATGTTTTTCAGCCCACAGAGCAACTTGCAGCTTCCCAGACTCTGCTGTGCAAAGATGCTTTTCATTTTGTGAGAACTACCTGTGCCTTGATGTGGTAGAGATACTTTCTTTCCTGAAATTCAACAAGGTACAATAACTTGTTTTCTTGACTTTCACACTGACTGAAACATTTATTAGGCATAGTACTTTAGCAATGTTGGGATATACAAAGATGGGTCCCTCCATTTCTGGACCTTAAGGACCATACATCAAATAAGATGGAAATAATATGTGCTGAATGCTATAGAACTGCTCCATCCAATAGAATAATTGCCAGTTAATTGGTGATTGAGCATTTGAAATGTGTTCTGAATTGAGATGCACCATTAATTGTAAAATACTCATTGGATTTCAAAGATTTACTGAAAAAAATGCAAAGCATCTAAATTTTTAAATACTGATTACACAATTAATGTGATGATATTTTAGATATGTTGGGTTAAGTAAAGCATATATTAAAAGTAATTTCACCTGTTTCATTTTCCTTTTTTTTATGTGACTACTAGAAAACTCAAAATTACATCTGTGGCTCACATTATTTCTATTAAATGGTATTGTAATAGAAGTTTAGAGAAGAATGGGGAAGTATGTCTTGTATGTGTGGTAGGGCACACACAGAGGCATGGTGGACAGAAAGCTATCTGAGAGGAGGTGACACTGGAGCTAAATCTTGAATGATGGCAGCCTCTACACACACAGAATGCAGAAGGGATCTCAGCCAGTAGTACAGAGGCAATGCTGTGTAGTGGGCAAGACAGGTTTTGGATGACATCTCAACTCCCTCTTAAGATAAATTAGTACAGTGCCTAGAACAAGAAAAAGTACTTAATAAGCGGTGTCTAATTTTACTAGGATGTGTCAGCAAGGTTAAAGGATGATTTAAAGAATGTT